CAATACCGTAGTTGCAATGCAATGCAATACATTTCTCTGGCGCAATACATTTTTCATACGATTGTCCCAAACCTATTGCACCACCCCCTTTCAGCTGGACCCCCTTTTGGGGTCAACCAAGTCTGAGAAGCACTTCGCGCGCGTCACTCACGCGGATCGTGCCCGACAGGGAGCTCCAACTATGGCATCCGCGGGTTCGCTCGCATTCGGATCTTGCGGCCCCAGACATGAGAAGTCTTGATGTTTTCAATACGGGGTCCCCGGAAGTCCCGACCCTTTCCCCAGGACCGTTTTTTCATCCTGAGTCGTTTTTTGACGGTCCCGAGGCCCGGCGAGGGCCCCCCGAGGCCGAAATTGGCCCCAAACTTCCCGTCCTGATTCTTTGACGACGCGATCATGTCTGGGGCGCGCCTTTTTCGTCCTTTCCGGGCCACATGCGAGGACTCTCGCCGCCACGGCTGGATCCGCGCTCCAAGAGTCTGGCCAGAACGCGCCCCAGTGCAGGTCCACGGGTCGATGTTCGACCCCCGGACCCCTAACCCTGACGCTCTGAACAAAAATCAGACTAGTGGGGATTGTTTGGATCGTTTCGCACATTCCGCCGGCCCATCTTGTATCGCTGGTGCTGTATGTCGAAGTGCTCGTGGCAAGCGAGAAGGAGGAGGAAAGAAGAAGGAGAAGACGAAATAAGAAGAATAATAATAAGAAGAAGGAAAAAGAAGAAGAAGAAGAAGAAGGAAGAAGAAGAAGAAGAAGAAGGGGGGAAGATGGGGATGAGGCCTCGTGGTGGCTTCTTGGGGCACCGTTCGGGCCAGACCGCGTCGTGGACAAGAAGCCTCTGCGGAAGACGTCCCGGGGTCTTTCAAGAAGCATGCTGGAGAGGTGCCCAATTGCCTGCATTCAGCCTCCAGCGGGCAGACCTCTGGCCACTGAGCCGCCAGAGAGCGCTGTGGGACAGAGAGTGTGTCCCCTGCATGGGGTCGAGAGCCCTCATATGGTCCGCAGATGAAAACAATGAAAACAAACAACAAAAAACAAATAACAAAAAAACGCGACGTTTGTGGCGGGGGTTCTGGGCCTGATGAAAGAAAACAAAGTAGTCAACAGCTCCCCCATTGAAAACAGGATCAACTAAAAGTAAATGTCTATACGTCCGGACATGCGTGCATGTGTGTGTGTGGGTGAGTGCGTGTGTGTGTGTGTGTGGTGGGGGGGGTGCGGTTGTGCTTGTGCTTGTGCTTGCGTTTGCGTTTGTGAGTGTTTGTGTTTGTGTATGTGTGTTTACTTGTGTGTGTTGCCCCTCCATTGCCGAGGAGAAGAAGAGCAAGAAGGACAAGAAGGACAAGAAGGAGGCTGGCGGCGACACCTCCTTCCTCCGAGGTCTACCCCTACCCCACCCTCGAAGGACGCAACGAGATCTTCCAGGGGGCGACGGACGGGAGTGGACAACAAAATCAAGGCGGAGTTGTTTATTAGTTTTCAGCCTCGGGCGGCTGCCTTCTGGGCACCATCCTAAGTCGGCCCAGGATGAAAAAAATGCACCTGGAAAAAAAGGGTCTAAGCGAAAAGACTGCATACGAACATTTTCTGGGGTCCGCGCCGATCTTTGGGCAGGCGCCAGATTCCCTCCCCACCAGCTCCCTTCTTTGGCACCGCCGTCAGGTGTGCAGCCGTTGAGCTCCAGGTGAAGGGCTAACCGTTCCCAGAGCTGCAACGTCTTGAACAAAGCAAGGCTGAGCTTTGTCCCCATCTCGGGCCGCTTCTGGGCTCCAGGACTGTCCGGCTCTCTGCGGCCCCGGGGGTCCCAGATTGCGGTCTCCAAGAGAGGGCCCCCGAGAATTTGCGAGAGACCTCCGCCTTGATTTTGGTTCAGGGCTCGGAGGAGCGAGAAGCATTGATAATGGCACGCCCCAAGATCGCCAGGTAGTTACTCTTGTTGCCCCGCGCGGCCGGAGACGAAGGGCCGAAGGCTGCTAGAGGCTCCCGCACTCCGAGCAGACGGGGCGCGGTGCACGCAGGGGGGAAGGGGGGGGCTGAGACGGGGTTCTCGGGCGGGGTGGCGCGGGGGATGGGGGGGGTGCTTGTTGAGAAGCATGGAGCATTCCTCTTTTTTCGACCTTCGAGCTGTTGGCATGTGTATCCGTCGGATTCTGCCACGTCTCTCCTCCTCCTCCTCCTCCTCCTCCTCTTCTATTCCTCTTCCTTGTGAATATCTCTCTCCTGCCGCGCTCCGAGGACGGTCGGAAGGACAGGCCGTGCGTTTCGCCTGAGACTTCCTACCATTTGTGAGACTGACGCTTAGAAGTTGACAACAGGTTCACAGATGGAGGGCGGGTGGTTTTCCAAATGTGGCGTTCGCCTTAGCGCCGCGCACATTCGTTGTCAAAACGTGCAAGAACTTCACGGATTGAGGGCGTATGGCTTTCAAATTGTGGCTCGCGCATCAGCACCGCGCACACTCGTTTTAAATTCGCAAGAGATTCACGGATTAAGGGCAGGTCGTTTTCAAAGTGTGGTTCTCGCCATAGCGCCGCGTGCATTCGTTGCAAACAATTGCAAGAGCTTCACGACGTGTTCAACATGTGGTTATCGCCTTGGCGGTGCGCACCTTCGTTTTAATGGTTTGCCAGAGATGACGGGTTTAGGTTGGCTCCTTTTTAACACGCGGTTCTCGCTTCAACGCCGCGCACACTCATTGCTTATATGCAGGAGTTTCACGGACTCCCTTGGTAAACTTCCAGAAAATGTGTTTTCGAGCGATTCCGGAATGGCATGGCGCAACAGGCAGTTGTTTAGCGGTGTTCCAGACCCAGGAATGGCGTCCTGGCGCGATTCATGATCGTCAAGATGCAACAGGCAGGAGAATTGTCGACGTTGAAGTCCTGACAATTATGGTTTGGGCACGCTTCAGTATGTTCACACGGTTGTCTCCCCATGGGGCACTTCCCTCAGTGGAAGTAAACCCTTGTATGGGGCCTATGAAGAAAGAGTTTGGAGGGAGGGTGTATCCCAACATCGTTGATACGTCTTGGGTTAAAATTGGTCCTCCTCCCCCTCCTCCTCCTCCTCCTCCTCCTCCTCCTCCTCCTCCTCCTCCTCCTCCTCCTCCTCCTCCTCCTCCTCCTCCTCCTCCTCCTCCTCCTCGCGTCACTCTCGTCTCAATGGCGTCGGCGGTCCAGGGAGTTCGGGGGAGCGCTGCCCGCGCGGCTCCAGGCGCGCCTTTCAGCTGCTCGCAGGAGCGACCACTCGCTGGAAGGGCGTTTGGTGCGCGGTTTTCGGGGGGCTCGGGCGGGTGACAATCAGGGGTGACCTAAATGGGGGCGGAGAGAGGGAGGAGGAGGAGGAGGAGGAGGAGGAGAGGAGGAGGAGGAGGAGGAGGAGGAGGAGGAGGAGGAGGAGGAGGAGGAGGAGGAGGAGGAGGAGGGGGAGGAGGGAGGAGGAGGAGGAGAGAGGAGGAGGAGGAGGAGGGAGGAGGGAGGAGGGAGGAGGAGGAGGAAGGAGGAGGAGGAGGGGGAGGGGGAGGAGGAGGAGGAGGAGGAGGGGGAGGAGGAGGAGGAGGCGGAGGAGGAGGAGGAGGAGGGGAGGAGGAGGAGGAGGAGGAGGAGGAGGAGGAGGAGGAGGATGAGAGGAGTCTAAAGGAGCGCGGGGCGCCCCAGAGGCGGCGCCAGGGTGTCGAGACCGCCCCGGGCCTGCTGGGCTGCTCCTCGGTCGACCCGTCGAGGCCTGCTGGGGCTACTCGGGGGACCTGTCGAGGCCAGCTGGGGCCCCCTGGGGAGGCTGCCCGAGTGCAGCGCGAAACCGAGCCAGCCGCAGCAGCCCCCGCGGGCGCCCCCCCTCCGCGCGGGCGCGCCCGGGGGCGTCCCCGGACCGGCCCGACGAGGCCCGACCCGTGCAGGACCCAGCCCGACCTCGAGCGCAGCCCGACCCGACCGCGGGCCCGCACGACGCTGCCCGACCGCCCGCCGACCCCCCCTTGCCGCGGCCCGCCCACACTGACTCCAGGCATCGGAGGCGCCGGGCGCCCCCCCCCCCCTCCGCGGGCGCACCCGGGGGCGCGGCCCCCCCGCGCGGGCGCCCCTCGGACGGGGCCAGGGCGAGGAGAAGTCCGTGCCAGGGCGCTCTGGAACGCCCTCGGAGCGTTTCGCTGCGGTCTGGGAAGGTCGCGGCGCCCGATACGTCCTCCAGAGCCGCTGGATCTCAGAGAGTCTTGCTTCGTCCCCAGACATGCGACGTCCTGATTTTTTCTCTGCGGGGTCCCCAGAAGTCCCACCCCGTTCCCCGGGAACAGTTCTCCACTCTGCGTCGTTCTTTGACTGTCCCGAGGCCCAGCGAGGGCCCCCCGACGTTTTTTTCGGCGCGATCATGCCTGGGGAGCTGCCAGATCTCAGAGATTCTTGACTTGAGTAGGAGATCGGCTACGGAATTAATGTACCCCAAACTTGACTTCCACGTCGAATCTCAAAGAAACTCACGTAGAAGATTCGCAGCTTTGCGAAAGTTCCACGACTGCTCCGGGGATGCGACGAGGAGAATCTCGATTCTGGGGTACATCGGTTCTGCAGTCGATCCCCTACTCGATCGATCCCTCCTTGCCCGACTTGGTCCTCGTCCTTGATTAGGGGAACATAAAGTGACATAAACATAAAAACTCGGAGGTCCGCGCGGACTCATCGGATCGGCGCTGGACCCCCCTCCCTGGCGCGCGGAGCGCGCCAGGGGCGGCGCGGGAGGCGCCGCCGGGGGGCCCCAGCGCCGATCAGAGAAATCCGCGCGGACCATTGAGTTTTTATGCTTATGCCACTTTTTGTTCCCCTAATCAAGGATTCCCCTATTGATTCCTCCTATTGATTCCTCCTATTGATTCCTATTGATTCCTCCTCGCCCGCCCGATTGATTCCTCCTCGCCCGACGTGATCCTCCTCGCCCGACGTGATCCTATTGATTCCCCTATTGATTCCTCCTCGCCCGACGTGATCCTCGTCCTGGCCTCGTCGCGGCAGCCCCCCCCCGCGAAAATGACGCTGGGGGCGCGGGCGCCCCGCGCTCTGCGCTCGGAGGCGCCGAGCGCCCCCCCGCCCTCCCGCGCGCGCGCGCGCGGTCTCTCGAGGGGGCCTCGTGGCGGCCCCTCCGCCTGGGCTTATGTCGGGCCCGTCCCCCTACAGGGGGAATTTTCTACGAAAAAGATGAAATATTTCAAAAATAGTCAAAAATACTCCTGGGATTTTTTTTGTTGTTATTTTTTGACCTGTTTGGTGCATTTGGGGGGTATTCTAATTTTTTTAATTTTTTCGTCGAAAATCCCCCTGTAGGGGGACACGCCCGACATAAGCCCTGGGCACTTCGTAGTGCAAGCGAGCGGAGCTCACGTACCCAGACATGCTCGCATCGTAGCATACAACAAAAACAATCGCGACGAGAGTTTTGCTGACCATATCTGGCCCCCGGGGGGCCCTCGCCGGGCCGCCAGGACTGTCAACAAACTGCCCAGGACGAAAAACCGGCCTAGGGGCAAGGGTCGGAACTTCCGGGGACCGCATATTGACAAAAAACAGGACGTCGCATGCCCGGGCTCACGTGAGCGACGCCCGAAACAAATTCGTCGGCGCCGACAACGGCGCGTAAGTTGCCCGCGTAAGCCACCGAGTAAGGTCGCTACGTCATCTCGCGTAAGACCCGTGTCTTTTCGTCGCCCACGTCAGCGCCAACGGGAGTCAGCCGCAGATCGATCCGGCTCGAAAATGCCTCAGATCGGCGGGTGTTTGGGCCCTGGCCGTGATTCTGCACGATGCTGTAGCTTGTGCGTCGACGGGCCTCGGGGATCCCTCTGGTTTGTTGGGCCGGACGACAGGGGGGGGATTGGGAAAGGGGGGGTTACGAAATTTGCTGATTGCAGCTGGTTTCGGCCCCACCGAGGGGCCCATTCCTCCATACATAGCCGCCTCCGGCGCCGGGAGGCGCCGGGAAAATCAGCCACGTGAGCTGATTCTCAAAGCCCCCTTTGTTAATTATCCCCCCCTTTCGCCCGACCCGAGTTTGGGAGCCACGTGGGGCCAACTCCGCCTTTCCGCCCTCCGCCTGACCAGGGGGGGGGCGCGCGGCAGGTGCAGCACGCGCGCGGCCTCGAGGCGGCCGCGGGGGCGGTGCTGTCCGACTGCCTGCGGGAAGCGGGCGCGCCGCGCACCGCCCACCCACCCCCTCTCGGTGGGCTCCACGAGGGGGAGGAGGAGGGGGAGGAAGAGGAGGAGGAGGAGGAGGAGGAGGAGGAGGAGGAGGAGGAGGAGGAGAGAAGGAGGATGAGGAGGAGGAGGAGGAGGAGGACGAGGAGGAGGAGGAGGAGGAGGAGGAGCAGGAGAAGGAGGAGGAGGGGGACAATGAGGAGGAGAAAGAGGAGGAGGATGAGGAGGAAGAGGAGGAGGAGGAGGAGCAGGAGGAGGAGGAGGAGGGGGAGGGGGGGTAGGGGGAGGGGGAGGAGGGGAACCATGACGAGGAGGAGGTGGAAGAGGACGATGCGGAGGAGGAGGAGGAGGACGACGACGACGAAGAGCAAGCGGAGGAGGACGACGATGAGGAGGAGGGAGAAAGAAGAGGGTACGGAAGAGGACGACGAGGAGAATGAGGAGGACGAAGAGGATGAGGTCATAGTGGGCATCGAAGAGGACACATCGGCGTAAACAGAAACTTTCGGATTGTTGGCGACGAAGACGCTGTTCTGTTCCACCCACTTGTCTTGCTGTTTCCCGCGTGGGCATCCAGAGGCCTCCAGTGTTGGTGTCAGTTCTCTTGATGTTGGCGCGAGCCCAAGGTCAAAGTTCGAAAATGGATTAAGTGTGCTGGTCGCGCTCCATGCTACCTAGTGGCCTTCAGCCCGTCCCGCCACCGTGCCTGGGCTGTAGGTCGGAAACCTCTTGGATGCCTGTGGGGATCTCTTGGGAGGCTTCTCGGAAGCTTGTTGGAGGCGGCTCGGGGGGTGTCTTAGGGACTCTCAGGGGCTTGCTGCTGGGTCTCGGAGCTCATCTTGGGGCCGAGGGCTCGACATGCCAGAACGAGTGTTTGGGGCCCTCTTGGACCGTTTTGGATGCCTCTTGGGCCGTCTCGAGGCCCTCTTGGACCGTCTTGGGGCCTTCTTGTCCTGGGGGCCTCTCGGGCTATCTCGGCGCGAAATTTGGGGCCGTCCTGGAGCGCCGACAGCCCGAACAGGCGAGAGCATCAACATCTTCCAAACACCATATGGCAACAAATGACGTTTGCCTCCTGGAAGCTCGCTTGGAAGCCTTATTGGTGCATCGTGGGGCCACTTGCGCCGTCTTGAGGCCCGACTAGTGTTTTTCGAGGCCCTCTTGCGTCCAGAAAAGTCACGCGACAGCACGCAGGAAGCCACAGGAACACGCGGAGAGACCCAGGGGCGCCAGACATTCGCGGGCCACTTCTAGATGTTTACGAATCTCATCTGGGCATTCCACTCAGTGCCTCGCAGCACGGTGGTGGATCGAGGGTCCATACACGCCATTCGACCTGTTACAACACGCTTGTGCACTTTCAGCAGAGTATCATGAGTAGGACTGCTCTGGGAAATCCAACGGGTTCCGAGAGGTTGCACCCACAACGTGGAGCCATGCCCCTTGTACATTTATGGAGTCCTTACGCGGACAAACGCACTCAACACGACCATGATTGTTCATAGGTAAGCGTGGGAGCAGTTCATGAAGGCACATGGCGTCATGGTGTCGATGATCGTTGCACAATACGGGGTGATGGAACATCACAGGCACCCGAGAAGACATACGTCACACGTCACCCTGGATGTCGGCTCAAGCGTAGGGTCAGAGTGTGAGTCAAGATTATGTGATAGCATCTGCATGAGAACAAGCACGCACCTCGGTCACATTCCAGCTCGTCTATATGCGCATCATACGCCCAATGGACATACGCATGCACCATATATCGGGAGCGGGGCCGCTGTTGGAAGTCAAATGGCGTAGGACAGAGAGGTATCACCCACATCGGAGAGCAACGCACTTACTGACATTGTGCACACACATACAGGTATACATATATATATATATATATGGAGAAAGAGAGAGAGAGAGAGAGAGAGAGAGAGAGAGAGATGAGTAGGCTTCAGGGGGGGGCTGGACTGGTGCCAAAGTGCCGCATGGGGCCCAAACGAGCATCGACCCGCCAAAGTGGCCTTCAAGGCGGCCCAGAGGGCACCAACACGCCCCCAGCACGCCCACTATTGCTTCGAGACGGCCACGAGGCCTCGAACGCGCCCTAAGATGGCCCCAACCTGCTTTCCGAGAACGCCCCACGTGGCAAAACCCGTGAGTTGCTTTGGTGTTTCGAGGGTTATCATGTGGTCGCCTGCTCCGCTGCCCGACGCCCAGAGGCGGCACGAGAGGCGCCCAAGAGGGCCCCAAGGCACCCCGAGAGGGCGCCAAGACGGCCCAGGAGGCGCCCAAGGTGGTTCGAGAGGGCCGAGGGCGGCCCCCCCAAGTGAGCCTGGACGCGCCACAAGGGCCTCCAAAGCGGCCCACGGGGCCCCCGAAAGGCCGCAGCACGCCCATCAGCGACGAGCCCCTAAGACGAGCCTACACGACGACCCCAGGACGCCCCAGGAGGCCTCCAAGACGAACCTCCAGGACGCCCCAAGAGGGCTCCAAGCTGTTCTCTGGCGGAGCCACATTCGGCCGACATAGGTGATGTCCCGCTCGTTGTGTCACAGACTTTCCCGTCGCCGGTTGCTCCGCAGCCCGACATTCGGAGACGGCACAAGAGGCGCCCAAGGGGATCCCAACAAGTCCCAGGGGGGGCGCCAACACGGCCGAAGAGGCGCCCAAGATGGCCCGAGAAGCCCCAAGACGGCCCCCGAAGAGAGCCTGCACACTCCAAGAGGGCCTCCAGGGGGGCCCACAGGGCCCTGCAACGGCCCCAGCACGCCCCCCCAGCACGCCCACCATTGCCTCGAGACGGCCCACGAGGCCTCCAAGACGCCCCAAGAGGGCTCCAAGTTGCTTTCCGAGCGAGCCCCGATAGGCAAAGTCAATCATTTGCCGTAGATGGTTCAAGGATGTTGCCGCTGTCGCCTGCTCTGGTTCCCGACGCTCGGAGACAGAACAAGAGGCCCCCAAGAGAGCCTCAGCACACACACACACACACACACACACATACACCAAGGGGGCGCCAAATCGGTCCAAGAGGCGCCCAAGATGACCCAAGACGCCCCAAGACTGCCCGTCAAACGAGCCTCGGCACCCCAAAGGGGGTCTACAGGGGGCCGAGGAGCCCCAAGACGGCCGCCCAGATGAGCCTCGACACCACGAACGGGCTCTAAAGAGGCCGCACGGCCGCAACCATCATGTTCCCGGGGAGCCTCCCAGGAACGTGATTGTCGCCGCCAAACCGAGGAGGAGGAGGAGGAGGAGGAGGAGGAGGAGGAGGAGGAGGAGGAGCAGGAGCAGGAGGAGGAGGAGGAGGAGGAGGAGGGGCAGGAGCAGGAGCAGGAGCAGGAGGAGGAGGAGGAGGACGAGGAGGAGGAGGAGAAGGAGGAGAGAGGGAGAGAGAGAGAGAGAGAGAGAGAGAGAAATAGATGACCGAGCAGGGGATGAGGATGCAAACGAGGATGCCGAGAGCGAGAGGGAGAGAGAGAGAGAGAGAAACAGGGGACCGAGGCAGGGGATGAGGATGCGAACGAGGATGACGAAAAGGAGGAAGAGGATGAGGACAAGGAGGAGGAGGAGGAGGAGGAGGAGAAGGAGAACGGACAGAGTGAGGAGACCGAGGCCGAAGAAGGAAGCGTAACTTTACTCAGCCGTTGCTCCCCCCCCTTTCCTTCCCAAGTCGCCCACGGAAGGCCACGAGGCCTCCAAGGGGGCCCCAACACGGCCCAACCGACATGTCCCCAGAGAGCTTGCAGGGAACAGGATTGTCGCAGCCATTCGGAGGAGGAGGAGAAGGAGGAGGAGGAGGATGGGGAGGAGGAGGGGTGCGGAGGCAGAGGGTTAGAATGAGGATAAGGAGGAGCAGAAGGAGAAACAAAAGTGAGGAGGCAAGAGGAGTCCCTACTCATCCGCTGATCCAGCCCTCGCTCCCTTTCACATTCCCTCCCTTGTTGCCTCTCCTGCCTTCCTTCTGTTCTATTTCCCTCTCTCCTCTCTTCGTATTTCCCTCCTTCCTCTCCGGCGACAACGACGACGATGCCGACGCCGTCGACGCCGGCAACTCTGTTTCCGCGTTCGTGGCCTCCTGGATTGCACGCTTGAGAGTGGATGGGGGTAAAAATGATGAGGATGAGGATGAGGCTTCTGGAGTTGTTGAGAACCCACGCGCGCGTGATTCTAGTTTGTACATCTATGGTAGACCGTATACGGCTATGATTACACCTGTATGTGTTGTCGATGCGCCTGGGTGAAGCGAGTTGACCGTTGATGGTGTACACATACCACAGAACCACCACCACCACACACACACACGCACACACACAAACGCGCACACACACATACATATACATATATATATATATATATATATATATATAATATAATATATATTATATATATATATCAAGCACACACAACACAACACACACACACACAACACAACACACACACATCACACATACACAACACACAACACACAACGCACACACACACACACACACACATCAACAACAACAACAAAAACAACAACAATAACAACAACAACAACAACAACAACAACAACAACAACAACAGCAATAAGTTTAAGACTGCTCTCCCTTACTTGCTCAAGTGTCCAATAACGCGTATTCCCCAAACCCTCGATACCCGCCCTCTTCGTCTTCGATCGGACCCCTTTTGGGGGGTATACCTTTCTTCCCTGCAGGCCGGGCCCCGGCAAGCGGCGGGGCGGCCGCGGACCGTCGGCCTGGCCAGCGGCAGCGCTGATCGGCGGGGCGGCCGCGGACCGTCGACCCGACCCCAAGAGGGACGGACAGGGGACCGACCACGACGACGACGACGACGACGACGACGACGACGACGTCGAAGACGACGGCGACGACGACGACGACGGCGACGACGAGCGAAAGCGAGAGCGAGAGAGAACGACAGCAGGGCCACGAAGGGCACGAAGTAGGCCACGAAGGGCGACAGCGGGGACACGAAGGGAATGCGTATGGGGCCACGAAGAGCGCGAACGAGCGGGGGCCACGAAGTGCAGATAATGCGGGGCCACAGAAGGCAACTATGGGGCCACTGAGGGTAGCAACTGGGCCACGTAGGACAGTGAGGGGGACACAAATGGCGACAGCGGGGCCACGAAGGGCATGCACATGGGGCCACAACGGGCGCGACTCCTGGGTGCCTGGGTGTCGGGAGCGCGGCGCTTGGGCAAATTGCAGGAAATTCCAACGCAAGGCCATTCTTCAGTAAGTTGCAAGCAAGTCTCCAGCGAGAGCGCGACTCCAGAACGCCGGGAAAGCGATTCCTGAATAAATTGTATGGAAGTCCGAAGCGAGAGCGCGATTCCTGAATAAAATGCGAGGAAGTCTTGGGCGCGAGCGGGGGTCCTGGCTAAATTGCAAGGAAGTCTCAAGCGGGAGCCGTTGTTGTTGTAACCCGGGGGCCAGGGGGGCAGTTTGAGCAGGAAGAATTCCCTTGTCAAAAAACAGGGTGCGAGCGTCGAGGGGCACACTTTGATTGAGAAAAAACCGTATGCACCGGTGGGGGGGGAAACAACAATGATTTTTCTTCAGAAATGAAAATTCAACAACAAAAAGCGCCGACTCGCCGACGGCGGCGGCGCGGGAAGATGGGCTCCGATGTCAAAGCCAGGGGCTCCAGGAAGGGCACTGGTTGCCCTTACGCGCTCCTCCTCGCCTTCTGGGCGCCAGGAAGGCCGCGTCCCCCACGGGGGGCGGGGGCGCCTGCAGTAAGGGCCGTCTGTTGCGTGCTTGTTGAAGGAACAGTGACATAAACATAAAACCTCACAGGTCTGCCCAGATTTCACGGATCGGCGCTGGGGCCCCCCAGCGGCGCCTCCCGCACCGCCCTCCGCGCGCCAGGGAGGGGAGTCCAGCAAAGCGTGTGGTGATGACCGAGGGATGAACCTCGTGCCGCTTATGGGCCCGATCGCTTTACATGTAGCTTGCGTACAGGTTGCGCCGATGTTGTTATGTTGGCTTCGTTGTGCCCCATCATGGACGAGCGGATGTTCCACCACCACGACCATAGGTAAGAGAGGGACGAGGAGAAGGAGAAGGAGGAGGAAGCTTGCCCATCCTCCCTTCTCCCCTGTTTTACCTGTGGTAGTGGTGGGACATCGGCCCATCAATCATTTGTCGCGGCTTGCCTCCGGAATGTCAGCGCAGCGTACGCACAAAAACGGCGGGAGTAAAAAAGCCAGCGGGTCGGCCAGCGGAAGGTGGCGGAAGGCAGCGGGAGGTTGTGGAAGTGATATAAGTCGGGCATGTCCCTCTGCAGGAGGAAAATTCAAAAATAATTAAGAATAATTTGGGGACGGTTGTTGTTCTATGTTTGATTATGTTTGGGCTATTTTTCAGTTTTCTTCACAGATCCGGCTGCAGGAGGACATGCCCGACCTAAAAGTTTTATGAGGAGTCAACATTTGGGGATCCAGGGTTTCTGGAATCGGTTTCATATATTGGCTTGGCTGGATCGTTTCGGCTGTGGTTTCCGGATGGTTTATTTTGTGTTTGCTATGGCGACGGTCTCCCGAAAACGATCCCACGATTCATCGAAGCCATGCCAAGGGTACGTGGCAAAAGTTCGCGTAGGATATCGGGCAGTTTCTGCTATTTGTTCAAGGGCGTCGGGGTATTCCAGACGATGACGATTTGGTCTCGTATGATTCCGGGGGAGGGAGAAGAAGGAGAAGGAGGAGGAGGAGGAGAAGGAGGTACGTGGATGGAGAGGGGTTGAAGAGGGATGAGAAGGAGCAGGAGCAGGGGGCGACCAGGAGGATGAAGAGTGAGAGGCAATTCTGGCGTTTCCGTTGGAATTCGGATGATTTCGAATCGTTTTTTGGAGATGTTGGATGCTCCTGGCGGACGGAGGAGGAAGAGAAGAAGTAGGATCTGAGTATCCCCGGGATGCATCCATCATTTTGCAGTGCGCGTTCCCATTCCAAGGCCCCTCTTAAGAAGTTCATGCAAGCATTCTGTTTCACTGCGGAAGAGAGCCCGTTGGCAGAGGATCCCACTTCGACAAGGACTGGCCATCCATCCTTCTCGCCCAAGAAAGCGGCAACGGGCATCGTGGAGTCGTAGTGTTCGACCAGCGAGAGCACCGCTTTGAAAAAGAGCCGCCCTCCACCCGCGTAGTTGTTGCACCATGTTTCACGTCTGGCCCCAAGCCCTGAAAGATTTCAAGCGAGCGCCCGATGTCAAAAATGAACGACTCTCCGTCATGGCAATGGTTATCTAATTCTGAGCCCCTGGCCAAAGTTACGAATGACGTCTACAGCGAGAATACATGAATCATTTCACGACGAATGTGTGCAGCGCTGAAGCGAGAGCCACATTCTGAAAACGCCTTCATATCCGTCCGTGTAGTTGTCGGAAATTGTGTTAACCGAAGTGCGCGGTGTTATAGGGAGAACAAAATTTGGGAAACGGTTCGCTCTCCATCCGCGAAGTTGTTGGAAGCAGCATCATTTGAAGAATAATGTGCGGAGCCGTGGGAAATGTTGTCAGGAAGTTTGCGCAGGGCCACGTCGAAAAAAACACACCTAAGAACGATTCGCCCCTCCGCCCCTTGCAGCTGTTGGAGATATCGTGCTCGCCCCGCCCTGCCGGCACACGATGGGTGGCGCGACGAGGACGAGCCTCTTCTGTCACCGAGCGCGTTCCGCTGCTCTGGAACTGCCCACTCGCAGACTCGAAGAAGAGACAACACCAAAATTCATAGACTTGTGGCGCGCCGCGCGGATTCCTTGGATCCGCGCTGGGCCCCCGGGCGGCGCCTCCGGCGCCGCCCCTGGCGCGCTCCGCGCGCCAGGGAGGCGGGTCCAGCGCAGATCCAAGAAATCCGCGCGGATCGCCAAAAGTCTATGTTTATGGCGCTCTTTTCGTTACTCTACCAACGCTAACAAAAGATCAAGGCTTGTCTCGATGCAGGGGGGGCCTGTCTGCCTCGAAAAGCAAAAAGGACCCAGGCCCTTTGCGAGCACAGCTGCTTCGCGAGCAGTGGAGCGCGCTGGCATAGCTTTTACAGGAGGGATGGAGGGGGGATGGAGTAGGGAGTCGAGTTCCGGGAGCCGAGGCTCGAGAAGCTCGAAGGGGCTCCCAGCCCCCCGCGCGCGTTGTGCCCGGCCGACCCCCAGCGGCGCTGCCAGCCAGCATGGCCAGGCTCCGGATGCTCCTCGGGCCGTTGTGCGCGGCCCCGCTGGGCCTGGCCGCGGAATGGCCCGGGTGCCAGGAGCTTCCTCCAGAGCAGACACGGGGGTGGTCGTTTCTCCTTCCCCGCCCGCCCCCCCCCCACCCCTTTTTCCTCCCTCCTCCCTCCTCGTCCCTCCTCTTTCCCCCCTCCTCGTTCCTCCCTGCTCCTCCTCCTCCTCCTCCTCCTCCTCCTCCTCCTCCTCCTCCTCCTCCTCCTCCTTCTCCTCCATCCCTTTTCCGTGCAACAGCTCTTCCCTGTCGCACCCTCAGACGTGGCGGCAGGGGAGGCCCGGCGTGTCGCCTGAGAGCTGCTGACATCTTGGAATCCTGAAAGCCGAAATCTACCATAGTTTCAAGGGTGGAGGGCATTCCCTTTTCAAAATATGGCTCCCGCTTCATCGCCACGCACATTCGTCTGACAAGTGTGCAACGGCTTCAAGAATGCAGGGTGGTTACTTTTCACAAATTTAGCTCTCGTCTTAGTGCCGCGCGCATTCGTCGCAAAAGTTTGTCCAAGTTTCCAGGGCTCGTGAACTGAAGTCCCAGGAACGGCGCTCTGGCGCGAATTCGGGTTGTCAGGATGCAGCAGCCACTTTGGTTCGTTGTGCTGAACAGGAATGGTCTTCTGGCACGGCTTCGGCTTGTCAGGACGCATCTGACACGGTGATCCGCGGCTTTGAAATCTCTGTAAATGTGTTTTGGCACAGTGCAGGATACCCAGACAGCTTTTTTCAGTGAGACACTTCCTGCTGTGAAAACGATTTATTGTAGGGACCTCTGCGGAAAAAAATTGGAGGGAGGGCGTAGTACAGCATCATTGATGCGTCTTGGGTTTACCCCGGTCCTCTTCCTTCTCCTCCTCCTCCTCCTCCTCCTCCTCCTCCTCCTCCTCCTCCTCCTCCTCCTCCTCCTCCTCCTCCTCCCCTCCTCCTCCTCCTCCTCCTCCTCCCCCCCCTCCTCCTCCTCCTCCTCCTCCTCCTCCTCCTCCTCCTCCCCCCCCTCCTCCTCCTCCTCCTCCTCCTCCTCCTCCTCCTCCTCCTCCTCCTCCTCCTCCTCCTCCTCCTCCTCCTCCTCCTCCTCCTCCTCCTCCTCCTCCCCTTTGCCGTGACCCCACGGCCTACCCTCTGATCTGGCCCCTGCATTTTCTCACGCCAGGCGTTTTCGCCGGGAAATTCGGGCCCACGGGGCCCTCACGGATCGATCTGGCTCGATTGATGCCGCGCAGGACGATGGGGGTTGGGGCTCCGTTTGCGATTTCTCACGGTGATGCAGTTTCGTTCGCGAAGTCGGGTCTCAGGGTCCCCTTCCCCCTGCTGCGAAAACCACGACGGAGGTTTCTGTCGTCCGTTCTCCGCCTCCTAAGGCCAGTTTCGATCCAAGACGTATCGATTCCAGTCGGCCCCATTCGATCCCAAGATTATGACGATCGATCCGATGCGGGTGCCAAGGATCTCACGGCGGAACACACATCTCTGGCGCAGACGAAGAAAATGCAATGTGTGAAAACGCTTGCGGCGAGAGCACGTTTCCAGAGTAGATTGTCTGGAGGTCCCAAACGGGAGCGCGATGTTTGGGCGTCGACAGCGGAACACAAGTCTCACGGCGGAACGCAAATCTCCGGTGCGCTTGTTTTTGTGTGTCCCAGCCTCTGACCTCGGCCTCTGGGGGCCGTCTTCTCGGGCCCCTTTGGGCTCGCCGAACGCGTTCCACTGCTCGCAAAGTGCCTACTCGCAAACGTCGAAAACGACACATGTCTGCATGTGTGTAATATTTTTATGAATATATATATATATATATATATATATATATATATATATACATATACATATATATATATATATATAGAGATAGATATCGTGAATCCCCCATGGCGGATCCAGGCCATTTGCGAGCAGTTATTTTGGGAGTCTTGGAAAGCGCCTGCCTGTAGACTGCCAAGGCCGGACCCCGGGCGGCGAAGCACTGCACCCGGGAGAGGCTCGGCGAGTGCAGAGGGCATGCTTGCGCCGGGGTGTGGTTTGCAGTCCGGCTCCCCTGGGGCCCCGGGGGGCACGGCGCTGTCCTCGTCGCCGGGCTCCCCGGGGCTCGGCGGAGAATGGTGTCCAGGTCCCCGCCCGGCCCCCCAGGGTGTCCCCTGGAGTCGTCGAAAGGGATCGGAACCCAGACATGATCGCGTCGTGAAATGATCCGGGCGAAAAAAACCCAGCCATATGCAGTTGAGAGTAATGCGTTGTGGGTGCCGCTTTCGGTGGAGCTCCCTATGGGGCCACGAAACGCGTGAGGAACGTGCCGTAAGGGGTGGGGGAGACGCATGCGAGCGGTGCCACTGGGGCCCTCGGTGGGGCTCCCTATGGTCGTGGGGGCTTCCTGACAGGCCTCCTGGAGGCGTCTTGGGGTGTCTTGGCGGCTTTGGGGGCCGTCCTGGGCCCATCTTGGGCGTGTTGAACGATCATTCGGAGACTCTGTGCTCTCTTGGACCGTCTTGGGGGTGTCTTGGTGGCCTCGACGGGCTGTCTTGGAGCTACACAGCGAGCCTGGGGAGCCAGGCCCCCCCTGATGAGTTCGGCGGTGGGTCGGATCCGACGAGGGGGGAAGGTCAAATTGCCAGTTTGGGGTCCCAGGGGGGGGCTTATGGGGGGGGAACAATCTCACACGCCTAGAGACCCACAAGGGGTCGGCGGATTTTTTCCGTACGGGGTCCCAACCCTTTCCCCGGGAGACGTTTTTCGTCTTGAGCCGTTTTTTGGCGCTCCCGAGGCCCGGCGAGGGGCCCCCAGGGCCGAAAGTGGTAATAAAAAAAAGCCTGATGTTTTTACGACGCGATCATGTCTGGGGGCAGGTCGGCCGCCGGGAGGGTCGGGCGGGCGGGTGGCGGGCGGGCTTCCAGGGAAGCGGACGGGTTGACCCTGACGGGCAGGCCCAACGGGCTCGGACCCCCCTGGAAGCGGGTCGGGCGGGACACGGCGGCGGGCGCGAGCCAGCCTCCAAAAGCAGACGAACCGGCGCGAGGTGTGAAATGTTTTTTTGAGGCGAGGGCACGCTTCTCGGGGGCGGCCAAGAGGGGGGTGATGACCAGGGAGGGGGGTGATTATCACGGCGTGGGCCATGGATACTTCTTCACATTCCATGGCGCCTCTTCTTATTTCATGACGTCCCTGGCCGCCCCCATGGGCCGCGCACGTGCCGCCAGCCATGATTTGCGCCCCCCTCCCCCTCTTGGACACCCCTCTTGGCCGCCCCCGAGCTTCCTGAGTAAACTGTAAGGAGGTCTCGAGCGAGAGCGCCGCGATTCTGTTGGGCGTCGACAGCGCAGCGCTGGAGCGAATTGCGAGGTCCAAGGCGAGAGCGCGATTCTTGGGCACACCGTAAGGGAAGCCGAGGTGGGAGCCGTCGATGTTACGGCTGGGGGCCCAGGGTCTCTCCTCCTCCTCCTCCTCCTTCTCCTCCTCCTCCTCCTCCTCCTCCTTCTCCTCTCCTCTCCTCCTCCTCCTCCTCCTCCTCCTCCCCTCCTCCTCCTCCTCGAAGTCGATGTCGTCGTGGCCAAGAGCATCGATCTTCGACCCCTCCGAAGCCCTCTCGATCGCCGCTGGGGCGCTCCATGCAGCCGAGCGGCCTCACGGTCGAGAGGCGAGAGCGGCGAAGAGGCGACAGATTCGTTTGCATTCCCATCTCCTGGCCGCGGGACGGGGACTCCTCCTGTGTCTTTCTTTCCGCGTCCTCCTCCTGATCATCATTCTGCTTTGGTGTAGAGAGGGGGGTCCAGCTCCGACCCAAGAAATTGGCGCGGACCACCGAGTGGTTACTCGACGCCTGTGCCGCTCTGTTGCTGCTATGCTGTTCACCTCCCCTTGCTCCTTCTCCTCCCCCTCCTCCTGCTCCTCGGTCGTTCTTCGGTCGGGCCTCATCGGTCCACTCCTCGACCGTGGCGCGACAATTCCTGCAGAAAAGTTGTCGCACCAGCCTCTCTTTGAAAGGATCGGCGCGCCTCAGGTTTCGTCTCCTCCTCCTCCTCCTCGTTCTACTCTTCCTCCTGCTGCCCCATCAGGCAAGGGGGCCCAGCTAGAGTGGCAAATACCTCCTCCTCCTCCTCCTTCTCCTCCTTCTCCTCCTCCTCCTCCTCTCACTGCTCCTCCTCCTCCTCCTCCTCCTCCTCCTCCTCCTCCTTCTCCTCTCCTCCTCCTTTCCACCGGATATATATATAATATATATATATATATATATATATTCATTATATTATATTATATATATATATATATCACGCGCTCTCCCTCCTCCCCATCACTCCGTCTCCGCAAGACAAGGGTTCCACCTATTCCTATGCTCTTCCTCCTCCGCCTTCTAACTCTCGTCCTCCTCATCCTCATCCTCCATCTCCGATTATTACTCATATTGCTACTCTTACTCTTACTACTACTACTACTACTACTACTACTACTACTACTACTACTACTACTACTACTACTACTACTACTACTACTACTACTACTACTACTACTACTACTACTACTACTACTACTACTACTACTACTACTACTACTACTACTACTACTACTACTACTACTACTACCACTGCTACTTCCACCACTACTACTACTACTACTACTACTACTACTACTACTACTACTAACACTAATACTACTGCGATTCTTTCTACGACGACTACCACTACTACTCCGACTACTACTACTACTAC